GGTAGTCTGAGCATCTATTAAGAGGATAACCATATGCAATATAGCAAATATGGGGGATTTCTATCTGTCTTGTTTTTGAAATCCAATAATGTTCTCAATGTTTTGCTTTGTTCCAATTTATTGCTTTGTTTTATTCAATGTTCTATTTTGATTGGTTTTATTCTGTTTGGTTTTATTTGATTTTACTGCATCTGATGGTATGGAAAACTATTTTGAACATAACAAGATATATTACAGTAGTGATTATTGATTTTTTGTTATCCCGTTTCAAGTTCCATACCAGTTTCAGTGTACTTTCAAATGGCTTTATTCTATTTTATTTTGTTAGACTTTATTCTCTTTAAAATATAAAATAAAAATAAAAAAATAATGCTGACAAAAACCCTTTCTCCTACATACATCCACACACACAGTCACACAGAGAAGTGACCAAGATGAAATTAACTGAGAAAACTAAATACTGGCAAAGACACAGAGCAGCTGAGACCCTTCTACAGTGCTGCTGCCCACTGGGATGGGATAATGGTAAAACCATTTTGGAAAACTTTTGGGAATTTTATACTTATATCAGTATCTCTAGTATCCTGACTTGACAATTTCCCTTATCAGTATAAAGCCATTGATCTGATGTTTATGTGCACTGAAAGACATATAAAATTGTTCTTCACTAGCTTGGTTCACAATAGCTACACACTAGAATCAAGCTAAGCGACCATCAGTAGTAGAATGAGTCGAATGTAGTCCAGCCACCCGATGGAAGACCACAGAACAATGAGGGATACTGAAAAATGGGACAGAGGGAATGGAATTCCACAGCATCTGTTGACTAAAAGGATACAGATACAAAGGAATACAAAAAGAGATGATTTGATTTGTATGAAAATTTTAAAGACAAATTAATATATGGGACAGAGATCAAAAGAGCGGTGACCTTTGATGGGCCCTGTTGGTGATGGGGTCCTCCATGCAGTGATGCAAATGTGCTGCATATTGACCTAAGTGGTGGTTACAGTGGATGTATGCACTTGGGAAAATTCACTGTGCTGTGTATCTTAAACCTGTAGGCTTCACCGTATGTGACATGTATTTCAGTCAGAAACTTGGGAAGACCTTAGAGTGGTTTGGTTTTTTCCTCCATGTCCTCTGCACGAGTGCTACCTTGCACCCACCAGGTTATGTAGCAACTATTTGCCTTCTTTATTATTTGTAAACTTCTTACAAGTGCACATGAACATTTCATCTTCAACATATGTACTTCTCTCTAGAGCCTAGCACAGTGCTTTCTAAAGAAAAGAGACTCAAAATTTGTGCTGAACTATTCTAAATGTCATCTGAACTCCAAACCATGTGCATTACCCACCTTTCTTTTAAAATGGAAAAGTACAAGTAAATCCAGAGAGTCCTTATCACTTAGCAAAATTTCAGGTAAAATATGATGAATTCTCTTACTACTTGTAGTTCTACCAAATGTTCTCCAGATTGAAGAGCATGATGTTCAAGGGCAGAGCTTATCAAATTTGCAAATCCTTGGCTCCATGCCCAAAGATTCTGGTTCTCTAGGTCTGAGAAAAAAACCTAGGTTTGTACTTTTACTAAGCACTGCCTAAATTTCCGATGGTGCACATTATAAGAAACACAGGCTTAAACATCTGTCTCGTCTGTCTTGGGACCTTCTGTCCTTGAGGTTATAGAACACTCAATCCTAAATGCAAATCCTCTTAGATGTCTTGAATTTGATTTCATGTACATGGGGCAGAATGCCAGAACTACAATAAACTCTTTGGGAAAAAACACCTGAAATCTTCTCAAGTAAGACCTACCCGTCCACCTGAGAGGAGACCACCATCTTTCCACGTTATCCTCCTACAATGGGATGTCTCTAACAATCTCCCAAGAGAAGTATTTTCCTGAAAACACCCAGATTAAACGATCTCCTGTGATCCCAGATAAAGTGATCCCTATGATCTTCTGGGTTATACCTCTGTTTGGAAACCAATAGACACCATCTCTAATTCATCTCAGGAGATGGTTTCTGCAGCTGAGAATCGATTCTGAGGCAAAATTTCTATTCAGTACTGGGTGAAAGTAAGGAGTCAATGAAAAACTTTTGCTTTTTTAAAAAAAAGATATTCAGGGAAACATTTTGCTAATTTCTTTGGAGATAGAATTCTTAAGGCCATGACACCAACTGTCAAGCCAAAAACCACACATCAAGACTGGTTTACTGTCCTTGTTGCATAATATTAAACTGGAATGAGTTGCCAAATTCGATTCTTGCCTTAGGTAACATTCTTTTATCAGAAATTTGGGAGGAAAAAAATGTTAAGACAAAAAAGAAATTTCTCAGTTTAAAAATTCAATCTCCCTACAGAAAGACAAGTACCCTATTTTCTTACTTATGTATGGAATGGAAGCTTGCATTTTTGATCATATAGAAATAGAGAGTGACCAATGGTTAACAGTCTGAGAAGGACGTGGGAAGAGACAAATGCAGAGAAGATGACAATATATAAGCAGTGCAGGCGGAAAGGAGGAAACAGAAACACTTCTAATGTTCTATAGCACAGCAGGGTAACTGTGGCTGACAGCAATTAGATGTGTATTCCAAAATAGCTATTGTAAAGGATTTTGAATGTTCCTAACACAAAACAATAATAAATGCTCGAAATGATGGGCGTGTCCTGTGCCCTGATCTGTACATTGCACATTGTATGTATGCACTGAAAAATATCATACTGCACCCCCTAAATATGGATAATCATGAAACTGTGTGTCAATTAATGTCCAAAAATTAAGCTTCTGTGCTTTTAAGGATATTTATTTATGGTATCACCAGATCCTGCAGGCACTGGGTTATAAACTTCACCCAAAACATAACTTCCTGAGTCTGGACACTGCTGTAATATGCATTGGTTGCTAAGAAAAATCAACCCGTTGTAAATAAATAAGCAGACAAATCAGCCATTTGCAAGTAAAATGAATGTATCCCACATACAAGTATGTGGCTGTCCAGGAATATTTAGTTTAGTGCCTTTGACTGCAATATAACAAATAGCTTTTTAGTTTTGCTTTGTCATCTGTTTCTTCCTAATGGAGACAAGGAAAATATTCTTGAAAAGCAACTGTTAATGGATAGTGACAAGTGGTTTCCTGTGGTCTAAGAACACACCATCAATTACTGCCTTTTACGTTCTTTTAAAGTTGAGAGGCTGAGGAAGTTCAATAATGCTGTATTGGCTTCATGATTATTGAACTACGGGGAGGAATCTTCAGACAAAAGGTTTATTTGTTTATTTTTGAATCAAATTACAGATATTTTCTACATGAACACCATAAAAGTTCAGGGATTCTCTGAGCTTCCACATGGCTCCTTATACCCTTGGAGGATACAGAATGGTAGACTTGATAGACCTGGGACAACTATAAGCTTTTCCCAGTAGAAGGTCAGTAATGCTAGTTCCATTGGAGGCTCTGGGTGTGACAGCCTAACTCCTTAACCTCTCTAGGGTTTCATTCCCCACTGAGGCACTTCTGAGAAATCCTTTAAGCCTCCAGAATATGGTTTCATGCGGATGAAACAAAGCCCAGGAACCACAATGAAGACTTTGGGAGAAAGATCTCCCCAAGTAAGATTTAGAGATGAGAGTAGATCTCCAGCCCCAACCCTCCAGTCTTCTCTCTGCTTTGGTCTTCCCCTCCCCACTGCATCCACCATCGTCTCTGTGGCCTCAGATGTAGCCCCTGCTTCTCTCCATGGATTATCCCATGGCCAGAAGATACTTATAATCAATAGCAGTCTCCAGTATTGCTGCAAACAGAAATTTTTCACTGTGTCAAGGGCAAAGCACACAATGCTCTCTCTTTAGGATCTGAGGTGAGGGGAGGCACCATGTGGAGAAGATAAAAAGCGGGAATGTGAGAGGATGCATGGAGCTGCAGAGGATGGGACAGCATAAAGAGCACCCACACACAGTCCTGCTGCCCCTATATTATGGGATGATGGGGGTGGTGTCACCTCAGAGAGCCCGCCTTGCCCAAATGTCACACCACATCACCACAGCCTTCTTTAGCTACCCAGGGAACCCCATTGTCTTCTTCATAGTGTATCACTTCCCTCGATGGTATCATCTGTTTACCTGCTTCCATTTTCACCACCCTCCCTCACTCCCCGTGAAGCAGAACCCCCATCCTATGGTACTATGGAGTGCCCAGGGCTGGAACAGAATTTGGAATATACTTTGTTCTCACTGAAGACTGAGCTAACGTGTTGACAAGCAACCCCAACTCATAAACTGCAAAAGTGCAAGAACAGCTTCAACTGGGGTTTTAAGAATTGCAATTCTAGGAACACAGGTTTAGATAAATCTGAATCAGCATTCTGGAGCTAACAAAAAAGTGAGCTACACAGGTGACTGAATGTTGACAAGAAATGGGATCTCCACTGACAAATAGGAGATCAGGAAAGAATAGGCAAACAGAATGGAAATACAGCCATAGAACAAGAAACACACACTTTAAATCCCTGGTATTATGCAGTTGTCTGGTCTTTCCAATTGTTCCGATACCTGTGGGCAAAGGTGACCACAGCTAAAGTGCACATTCCTGGCAGAAGCTGGAATGGTGCATAAACCTGTTTGCCTATGACCTCATGACTGCACTTTAAAAGGCTATTGATGCAAAATTTTCCTTTTGTTTTCACAGAATAATGAGTGGACTAGATGGGCAGGTGGGGAGGCAGCACTCCACAGGCCACCATGCTTCTCTTCTGGTACTCAGGGATCAGAGCCCCAGATCTGGCCAGAACCATTCTGGTTTTTCTGGGACTAAGCACATTCTTGGAATGTGAGGCAATCAGTGCTAAAACTAAGAAAGCCCTGGACAAACCCAGATGGGCTGGTTCCCTTCCTACAAAATGCTACACGCTGAAGGTCACTGAGAGCTTAGGTGAAGGGAAATGAGGTCAGTGTATTTATTGCTGTTTCAAGGTCACTGTTTCTTACCTGAAGGCTGCCTCTTCCCCGCTTGTGAAGTCGTTGCCTTTTTCCAGGAGATCTTTGCCACTCACATCTTCCCTTTCAGTTTCTAGTAATTGTGTCTACTCTTTGTAGGGAGAGGGGAGGCGGAGTGGTCACAGCCCTGAAGCTAGTTCTCTTATATGTCTTTACCATCCCTATGGCTCCTCCCCACTCTCTCATGCCTTAGTAAATTGTCCTTTTATAAATAAACTCTCATCAAATTACCCAAGTTGGAGTGAGCTGTTGTTTCTCACGAGGTACCTGATGGACATGAGAGAAAATATAGAAATAAGAACTATTAAAAGTCATTAAGATGCAAAGGTAGCTAACCTCCCTATGCCTTGGTCCCCATCTATGAGTCTGTGGCCACTGCACTGGATTGTGGTCAAAAGTGATTAAGAAAAACATACTTATATCTGTGTTTTAATGTATCAAAAGCACTCAGCAAATCATAACCACTGCGATGGATCTTTCTTCTTTTTTCTAACAGAAAACAGCAGAAGGCAGGATCAGGCTTGCCATCCGCCAGAGAAGAGCCCCAGAATCTGACCTCTCTAAATGGCATGAGGCAATGGACAGAAATACTCCAAATTTAAGACTTTGTGCTTGCATAAGTGGCTGCTCCTTTAATATTTTTACTTTGTGGCTTTGAATGGAGCCCTGGATATTTTGCATGGTCTCTCTATATCCATTTCTTTACTTTCTGTGGTTTCAGATACCCACAGTCAACAGCAGTCTGAAAATATTAAATGAATAATTCCGAAAATAAACAATTCAGAAGTTTTAATATACTTTTAATAACAGCATAGTGTTCCAATTTTTCTGCTGCACTGCTATTTATTGTTCCTAATTTCTTACTGTGCCTGAGAAATCAAACTACAACAGTTAAGTTGATCCGTTTGCCATTAGTAACAAAAGACCTGAAATAATCAACTTCAAAGAGGAAAGATTTATTTTGGCTCACATTTTTGTGGCTTGCCATCCATCGTGGATTGGCCAAATGGCTTTTTAATCTGTAGTGACAAACAGCACATCATGGTGAGAATGTGTGACAGGCCACGCTGCTCACCTCATGGCTGCAAGGAAGCAGACAGAGATAAGGAGTGTCTGCGAATTCTGTGTTCCCTTCAAAGGTGTTCCTCTAATGACCTAACTCTTTCCCATTAGACATTTCCGAATCACTTTCCTGTTATTGGACACAACGTCCAACACAGACAATTTAAAGGAAGAGAGGTTTGTTGAGCTCATAGTATGTAGAGGATTCAGTCCACGGTTGACTATCTACAAGAGAGGTGCCAAGGCACGGTGAAAGGCTCTGACAGAGGAGAGTGGCTCACATCATGGTGGTCAGCAAGCAGAGAGTAAAGGAGCTGGAGAGGGGGACATCCTTCTAGGTCTCATTCCCAGTTATCTATCTTTTAAAAGATGGTCAGCTGCTGAAGTCAACAGCAAGTCAATCTGCTGATGAGTGTAGCTGGCCCTTCTGACCCAATTGCCCACCAAAAGCCCCACTTCTGAGTCCATGAGGCTTTGGGGAGACATTCTACAGTTAAACTATAGCATGACCCCACTCTCTAAACATTGCACCATCTCTGGATAGTGTCAGGGGCTAGGGACCGTGTCTTTAACACATGAGCCTTTGGGGCCCTTCAAGATCTAAACTCTGGGGCTGGTGATGTAGCTCAGTGGTAAAGGACTTGCCTTGCATTTGTGAGTCCTGGATTCCATAGCCAGCACTGCCCCCCCCCAAAAGCCTGAACGATAACATACACGTGTCTTAAAAGAAAAAGTATAAATGTGGATGGATTGGTACTGTCCAAGGTTTCATGCATTCCCTGAGGTCTTGGACTGTGCCCTTTGAGGTTAAGGGAGGAAGTGCTGCATGTGTCAGAGACTGAGCAGATGCTTGCTTCAGAGGCTGCTAGGAATGTGGGAAAAGACAGTTGGTTTGCACATTTGCAGGAAACCTCCCATCACTACCTCCCTTCCTGTTTCAGCCAGACTGCTGGAATATACAAGAAATCAATAGGCCACAAAATGGAAACAATTTTGAACCCAAGAAAAGGTTCTCCTTTTCCAATTTAATGATGCAGTGACCTGTCTGCAGACCTTTGGTGAAAATGGCCCATTGAGAAGGTCCCCACGGGATGTGTAAGCAGGGAAGCTGAAGGGTAAGAGCAAGAAAGATTTCCTTTTTCATTAAAAGGAAAGGTACATTCAGATTTACTGGACCCAGTAAAGTGCAGGCAATTTAGACAGTTTAGGAAAGGCAGAGAAGGTGGGAAGACCATGCAGCCTGTTCCGAAACAGGTTTCAATCACGTATTAGTGGGTTAAGTGGTAGCCCTCAAATTCACACCCACTGAGTGTGAATATGAACACAGACTTACCTGGAATAAAGTTCCTGCATATGTAGCTAATTAAAAGTCTCAAGATGAAATATTACAGGACTTTGGGGGGCCTTAAATCCCATGACTAATGCCCATACCAGAGAAAAGGGAGGGAGCTGTGGACATCAAGGAGACCATGTAAACATGGAGGCAAAAATTGAGGTTAGAGCATTATAAAAAAGCAACTTTTGCAGGAACTATAAGGAGCCGAAAGAGGCAAGGAAGGACCCTCTGTGCAGCCACTGGAGGGACATGGCTCTGCCACCACCTTGATCTCAGAATTCTGCCTTCCAAAATTAGGATAGGATACATGTGTATTGCTTTGAGCCACCAACTTGGGGTCGTTTGTTACACAGCTACAAGGAACTAACACATGCATTAAATACTTCACGTGGTTTACACAGTTGGAGCTAAATAAATACAACCAGCCAATGGGCCACGCAGGAAGACCTGCTGTACTCTAAAACCACACAGACGCAAGTACGTTGGCATGGGGTCTCACCTCGTGAAGACCTGGGACTTCGCATGTCCTGTCTTATGGGCCCAGCATGTTTCTGTTACCCTACTCTGCTTCCACGCTTCCTGTTTTAAACTTTGCAACCAGTGGACTTCGTGCGGAGGGAACATGGCGTTCAGGATGCGGAACCATCAGACTGAGATGGCTGGATCTGCAAATGAAAGCCGGCACTCTATTCCCAACTGCTCCCTCCAGGAGTCAGAGTCACGGTACCCAGCAGGAGACCGGGACCCATCCCTACAGGGCTCACTCTCATCTTAGTCCAGGGACATTCTGACTCCCAGGGTCCCCTGCCTGATGTGGTCCTAGACACCTTGTTATTGCTCTTCGCCTCTCTCCTGTTGGCGTGGCTGCGGATCCCATGTCCACTTCCCAGCTACACTATGTTTCCATCGCTCCGCAGTTCTGGCTTGAACCCCAGTTAGCCACACCGGGGGGCAGTTCAGTGGACACACTGTCCACTTGCCCACTCCGCCACTCTTTGCCTTTCTTTTCAGTCACAGGGCTCTGGGCTCCATGGATTGCATCAGCCAGGCCCTGAGCCCCGCTTTCCTGTGAGGAAGGGGAGCCACTGACACCGGTAGGAGAAGGAGGAGGTCAAGCCAAGGTCAGAGCAGCGTGACTCCTCTCCCCTGGGAACCGAGGTCCCACGGTGGCCCCTTGTTGGTGTCCGCATAGCCACAGTTCCACCAGCTCCTTCCAAACAGGCCCTGGAAACTGTTCTCTGCTTCCAATCGGTTCCACTCTCCCTTGTTGCTCCCTTAACACTGTCCACCGTCTGTACATGTATGGACAGTGCTCCCAGTAAGCTTTGTGTCACTTAAACCTCCAGCAGTTCAGTCACCAGCACTAATCATGCTGCGTACAATTAGCCTTGTGCTATAGTCATTGGGATTATTTAGTCTCTGCAAGTCCTAGTTAATTCACCTACGTGATGAGACCATAGATGTAGCTCACAGCAGGGTCACAGGGAAACTGAAATGGACCGACCATTCCACTTCTGCTAACCCTTCCCTGTACCCTTCCTCACCTCACACAAGTGTTCCAGCTCTGCTGGGCTGTCCGGCCTGTCTCTGCGTGTGGCTCCCTGATGTGTGCCCTGCCCACAGGTCTGAGCACTTTGCCCCTAAGATTCACTCCAGCCTCGTCACCTCCATGTCAAGGAGGACAAACACGCTTGTTCTAGAGGAGGTCATGCAGCACAGATGGGTAAACTGACTCATTCCTGTGCACCAAACTCCTGAGAGCCAGCTGCTGTGAGGAACTGGGTCCCCCATCTCCGGGCCTGGGGTTCTGCCCCGGCCTCCTCTCACAGGAGACCCCACCCATCTCACGGTTTCCAGTTTGCTCTGCCGGGTGAGATGTGCCTGGGCTGGTGACAGCGAAGGCAGCTCTTTGAGCTCCAGGGTGGGGGAGTTTGGGAAAGAAGCCACGGAGGAAGTCTGTGCGCGTGCAGAACGAGCCCCACGCCTTGCGCAAAGCGACACCCACGGAAACGTCTCAAAGTGATGAATTGGCAGCTGGACACCCAGCTGCTGGGCGTTTCCATCCTGACTGAAACTCTGCGTGACACTGGCTGGGAGGGAAAACTCCACAACCAGGTGCCAGTATGGTCCAGTTCCTCCATGCCATGTTCTTCCTAGACCTTGGTTCAGTGTCCGGAGATGAGGAGGAGGTCTCAGAGAATGAACAAAACAAGGAGGAATGGGGGAAAACTCTTACTCGAGATTGGCGGCTGGAAACTTCACTTTGAAGATACATTTCAGCAACACAAAAAGGATTGAAGCATTCATATAACTTTCATGAACTGTATCGAAGTCAATAAACCCATAAAAGAAGGTTAAGAAAGAGCCCAAATTGCTCTCTTGCCAGAGAATCTTTTAGGAGAAAATATGTTGTTTTCTACAATCCTGAAAAAGTCAATAAAGGTTTAGAAAGGCTTAAAAATAGTGGCTATCAGTACTGTGTTTAGAACTTAAATTTTAAGTTGTCTATTTCCTGAATTTAAAAAACCTCGAATAACAGAAACAGATAACGTGGTAAGTGAAAGCCTTGAGAGTGTGTGTTCAGCAAACAGAGCTCCTCGGATCCTGCTGCTGTGCCCAGCACACTAAGAATAGACAGGGTCGAGGGCACTGGAGCCCGGTCAGCCTTGCAAGTGACAGGCAGGCAGGTCACAGTGACCCAGCCCTCCTCGCCCATCCCCATCCCCTGGAGAAAGGAGAAGCTGTTTGTGGTGAATGTGACCCACTGTTAATTCTTCCTAATTTATAAAAGCAACTCCTGTGCACTCCCCAAAACTAAGAAAACATTCCAGAGACATTCAATATTTACTTTGTGGAGAATGCCCTTCTGGATTTCTTCCAACTCTTATATCAATAAAATTATTTAAGATAATAGATGTAAATAGAATTTGTGATTACAAATGAGTTCCATAAGGCAAATAAATAAAAATACATAACATTACATTTTTATTGTATGATTCCACTATAATTTATCAGTCTGTTACTGGTTCCCTATAGCTTTTTGAATTTTTTACTGTTATAAAACCAATGAAGTTCTCTTTTTAACATTTAAAATGAACTGTCTCCTCACTTTATCAGAAAAGAAAAACCAAAAACTTTAGCAATGAAATCTTGTGCCCACTTTCTACAAACTCTTATTCTAGATCCCAGGACCTTTGTATGTGTCATGCCCTTCATCTGGAATGCTCTCTTCTCTGTTTATCTGCTTACAAATCGCTGGTTTCAGCAGAGGCTCACTTACTGAATCTTTACATGTTTCTATTAGGGAGAAAGAATTTGAACTTCTTTCCCTCCAGAAATATAATGCTGAGTATTCTTTTCCCCTTGCTCACTGCTACTCAGAGAGATAATACAAGAATATAGTTTTAGTGAGCTATGTTTCTCCAGTAGCTAGTTTGGGCTTTCAGGTGACCTTTATCTTCTGGGCTTTTGCTTGATTGGTGTGATGATACAGGTGTGGTGATACAGGAGGAGGTCACATAGTCCTGGCCAGGTGAATATTCAATTCACAGACTCAATTCTTCTCCATGTCTTCCCAGAGCAAGACCTACAGAGGCTAGTGTCTGGGTTCCACCCCTGAGACTAATCTTACTTAGCATGCAGTTGTAAGTAGATATCTCAATACCTATCTGATTTCTATATCCTGGTTCACAACTGGAAAGCCTTTCCTGGAGCATATCCTTCAGAATAAAATACACATTCAGATCACAGACTCACAATTATATGTTCCTGTGTGCATCTCCCTTTTGAATTTAAGGCCTTCTTGAGATAGAAATTGTTTGTTTATTTCTAGTATGGTGTATAATTTAGGCATGTAGGACACAATAAAAGTGTGTTAGATGAGCCAATGGCAAATTGTAACTTTGTGACCTATCTTAAAGCCATTAGACCTTCTTTTAAAGAGATTCTCTTGAAATACTAATTATTATAATTATATGAGGTCCTTACAGCAGTCACTGTAACATGTTAGCCTGCTACAGAATCATCTGGAGCATAAAACTTGCTGAGTCATCTCTTGAGTTTCTGATTAGCATTTTAGGGACCCAGGGTGCCCTTCTAGCAAGTTCCCAACAGATGCTAAGGTAGCTGGACCACATTTTGAAATCTAGTTTCACCTGTTACCCGAATAACTTCTGGGATTCGCTAGACTTCCACACATTACTGTGATATTCTGACTGAAAAAGATGAATTCAGGAATCAAGCTTCTTGTAAGTGAAAATATTTTATGCAATAAATTCATCCACAGACAATAAGAGATCAATAGATTTGAGCCATATCCACAACAAGACTTAGAAATGAAATGTAAAAATAATGTCCTGCTCACATCTTCTGGGACTTACTAGAATTATTGAGCAACTGAAATAATTTTCTGGAGAACCTTGCCCCCAGATACATTCTATGGTTTGAGCTAAAATTCAGTGTATAATTCCTAATTTTACATGCCCTGTAGCACACTGCTCTTCTGAACTCTCTGGCCTGGATATATCAAACCTCAGAAAAGCTATCTCTCAATAAGTAAATATCAAATAGGCACAAAAGCTCCCAAGCCAGGTAGAAATAAACTATATAGTTGTAATCTAAAAAGCTCTTAGCAACCAGCTAAGAAGGTAAGAAGTAGATGCATTTTTTAAAGACATTGCAATAACAAATGACAGCTCTCAGAGGGTGGTGCAGATGAGGGATACAAAGCAGTTCTGAGGGGGAGGAGGATGGATTGCTTAACACCGAAGAAATAAAGAGAAACCATTTGAAGAGAAGGCACTGCAGAGCTACATCTGAAGACAGGATTTAAGAAGCAAGATCAGACCTAGCATCCAAAAAGAACTTGAGACCCAAGCCAATTCTAAAAGGACAGTCCCAGTGTTAGAAGTAGGACATCTTGACTTCTATAAAAACAGTAAGGGTATCTTTGTCAATTAGCTACTGGCTCACTTCTGCAGATGACATTGCTCTGGAATCTGATTCCTCAGCACCATCTGGCATTTTCTGGCTTAGAGCAGCTCTTGTGCTGAACTGCAGAGATGACTGCAGTTAAAATAGTACAGAGAAAGTGGTAGCTCCTGGCTGTTGGCATGTGTTAGCATACAGGAGTGTTAGAGTCTGGATCCTAAATGTCTCCCAAAGGCCTGCGTGTTACAGGCTTGGCTCCCAGCACCGTGCTGTGAGAAAGTCATGGAACCTCTAAGAGACGGGACTAGTGGAAGGTCTTTAGAGGGTTTAAGGGACGCTGGGAAGGGCCTTGTGGGACACTGGTTCTTTCCGCTGTCTGTCTTGCTCCCTGGCTTGTGATGGATGAGGTGAGTCCTCTTTCCTCATAGCAATGGGGCTCACCACCCATGGACTGGGCCCTCTAAAATTGTGAGTCAAAGTAAACTTTCTCTCTGTACACACTGATTGTCTCAGGTAATTATGATAGTAAGACAAAGCTGACTAACACGCAGAGTCGGTAACTACTGGGCTTTACTGAAAACATTTCAGTCCTGTGGTCCTTGACTGCACCACTTCAGCAGAGGGTAAAATCACTCAGCGAGTGTTGACTTTGGGAGAAGCTAAAGTAGGAATTAAAGAGGCCCGTGGACAAGAATACCCCTTAATGTATTTTTGGACTAGGCATGTGTGTGATTGTCTAGTTGATGTAGTGAATACTAGCATCAATGATTTCATGGAAGTCTTTAGTTTTTAAATGCCATATATAATTTCCTAAAATAATTCTGCAAAATAATCTTCTATTCAGCATATCAAGACAGGAAAGACAGGTTCCATGTTCCTCAAGAGTTACGTTTTATTTATTTTTCTGTCTTTTTCTTTTTTTCTTTCTGTCTGTCTGTCTGTCTGCCTCTCTTCCTTTCTTTCTGTCTTCCTTTCTTTCTTCTGTAGCTGCCCCACATACCTTACAGCTGGCCATGATTAAATCCATTGTCCCAACACCACTCTGGGAAACATTTGCTTTGGCTGCAAGAAGCTTCAGCTGTGGTCCATCTCAGATGACTCACCCTCTGCAGGTGTCCTCAGTCGGGTCCAAGAGGAAACCCTCCCATTCCCGTGACCAAGCAGGAAGTCTGATACTGTGGGTTTGTGCATCTACCTTTTTCTTCCATAAGCAGCTTCCTCCTTACTTATAATGGATCACTGTTTACTGCTCCCCACCATGCTGCAGGAGAATCCTCACAACACCTCTTTGGGGTGGCATATTTTAGCCTGTTTATGATTTCTATCTCACTTAGAACAGGCTGAGCTGGTGCATACAAGATCACTGGTGCCTGAAGCAGCCAGCAGTCAGGGCTGGTTACTTTGAGAGCATATAGCAGTTACAGGAAGCAACGCAGAATTGTTGTGTGCTGTTATCTCTGCCAACCAGAAGAGTTCTCAAGGTCTGGCAGTCACTGCTGGCACCAGTCGCCAGAAGGATGGCAGAAAACTCTCAACATCAACAACTGATAGATACTGACATACAAAGCTCAGGGCTCTTGACAACAAGAGCTACAATTTGTGTGATTTCTATCTAAATGGAGCAAAAGAACCTTCAACTAACTGGTAATACCATTTTATAAATATGAAATGTGATCACAAAATATAGTGAATACTTAAATAAAAAGTTTGAAAACTTAAACATTTCCTGTATTTTTTATTATACCTCATATGGAACTACATCTGTAATCAGAAATAGAACACACTAGAAATTTCTAACTCAAGTGCAAAATGCCCTGAGATAAAGTGCAACAGCTTTTATTAGCTACATTAGCAGCACCAAGGATTAGCTACAAATGAAGAGGGTGCTAAACAGGTTAGCCACTGCCTTGCCACCTTCGTGTTCTTACAAACTAACCTGTTCACAACTACCGCTTTGGGTAAGGGATATGAATCAGCCCCGTGTTTATATCCATAAACTCCTACCCCGGGTGGCCGCTCTATGGGCAGCAGAGGACCCCACTCAATACTGTTTAATCGCTTCTCTCAGGAAATCGCATGTGGCACCTTGAGATATTGGGTTTCTATCAAAACCCAAAAGGAAGTCCTGCAGACTTGAGGCTGGTGGCCACAGAGGGCTGTAAGCAAGCAATGAGGCGGATCTATGTGGGAGGATGGAGGAGACAGTCCACCCATGCAGCACAATAGAGAGGTTTCCTAGTGACTTTCTGATCTTAGGGGCCCATCAGTCAGTCCTCCAAAACCTTTTCCTCATCAGTGTATAAAGCAGGAGCTGAATAATCACATACCTCAGTCGTGACTTCTGAAGGGCTGGCTGTTGTAGAGAAATGTATAGCAGCCCAATTTATGATGCCCAAGGTGTCCACTTGTTTGGGTTATCTGCTTGATTAAATATTTATAATTTTCTTTGATACTTTTTTCTTGAGCAAAAGAAATCTGCACAGGTACTAAGTGAAGAGGTATCATTGTTGGATTCCCGTGGAATCACTAGCCTTCTCCTAAAATCAGAAATACTGAGAGAGACCAGCTGGCAGTGTGTGGAGATGGCTCTGGGATGTAGGTGTGACTGCCATGAACACTGATTATTTTATAACCATTAACTTTACAGGGGGTGTTTGTCCTGTCTCTCTAATTATTCAAGAATTTTCCACACGAGGCGGTCATTGTGCAGCATCACAGTCCTCAGAGACACCAGGTGTGGGGGCTTCATACCTTTACTATCCCTTATGAAAGGGACACAGCTGATACCCCCTCTATCACAACTGGAACCAATTTTCACCTCATATCAAATTCTTAAGAGATTCTTTCATGAATTCTGTCACAATTGCCTTGAGGAAATTTTCCTTAAACTCTCTCTCATTCTCCTCACTCTGGCCCAGAGGCCATTTTTTAGTCCTGCCCCCACCTCCACGGATGACATCTTTATGGCTGAATCAGGTCCAATGTGGCATGATAATGTGACTGAGACATTGACTGATTTTTCAGTTCTGGATATTTTCCCTGTTCTTCCATTCCTTTATCCCCCACTCCCAATCACTGATCCCATCCTATCCAATTAGGTAGTGTCTTCAGCTCATTGTCTCAAGGATGGATGAAAATAGAAACAGCTTATTGGTTTAGCTTTAGCATTTCCTCAGGCCTCAACTAAGATTTCCCCAAAATGTCAAGAGAGAGATAAGAGGGTCAAAGTTCTACCAAGAAAGGGGAAACCTCTTACTACTCCAACTACTCGAAGAGGAAATGGGACCTCAAAGGGAGAGTTACCCAAAGCCTGAACTTCCACTCTGGAAATCCCCATAGCAAAGATCTCTGAGACTCCAAGGACAAGGAAGAGGTCGGCATTCCTACTGTGGATGAGCTGCCTTCTCTCCTCATTTCAGGCTCCTGGATTTGTTCAGGCTCCTTATAAGGAAGAAGACGTTATCAGCAAGTGAGGGAAACCACAAAATGTCATCCCAACATTTGCCTCTTTAACATAAATATTTTTGAGCTAGAGGCAATCAAGAAGCACATATGAAGGAAGAGTTCAGTCTACCCCATCCTCTCTGTCCCACTTAAAGACAGGACATCAATTCTCCTATACCAGACGGCTCTTTCCAGTTTAGGGACGACACCAGAGGGATTCATGAGCAAACCTCACCCCACTGGTCTCTCCCCCCTATTTGCCTTCCCACAGTCTCCCACCTCTGAAGGCCTGAAACTGCTTCCCTTTGTCTTCTCTAAGATTTATTGTTCTTTGCTGAAAATATTTCACAGGTCAGAAGCCCAAGCCATCCCTCTGAGTCACCTCTCACTGTATCTTCTTCCATGTGAGCACATTGCCTGTGTGAGTAAACTTTCTTCTTCTCTGTGTTATTCATCTGTCTTTGGTCTGTGGTCTATGCTAACTGCAGACATAAGAGTTAAGGACAAACCATAATGCTCTTCCTACACTACTGAGATTATATTTCCTTCGATCTTATTAGAAATAATCTTTTGGAGTTGGTCCTAAACACTTTCCCGTCAATGGGACAAAATATTCATCATCCATAACTCAAAGCAGGAGAAGTTAATTTTGATTCATTGTTTTCTAAGGACTCAGTGGCCAGTTGGCTGGCTCCAGGATAAAAAGGCCATGGTGGAAGGACTTAGAGCTGGTGACAAACCTATGGCATGTGTATTATTGTGGTTTTCCTTTAAGGTACAGGATGTCAATGTAGAATTGTTTTTTATAAAGTACAACCTCAACACTCAGGTCTAATTTCAGCATTGGGCCTTTGTGATACATGGGTGAGTTTTGAGTTGCAGTTTGGACAATCAGACCTCAAAGGTTTGTCATCACTGGCCTAAAAGAGGAAAACTGCTCACCTCATGGCATCCAGGAGGGAGAGAGAGCGATGAATGATGAGAATCCGGGGACAGGAAGATCACACCCCCAGTGAGGAAGGTCACACCCCCAGCCATGCCCCATGTTTACACAGCACATTCAGCCATTGAACTCGTCAATGGGTAAGTGCACTGATGAACACAGTGTCCCCCACAATCTAATCACCTACCACATACATGACACTTTTGGGGAACACTAGATTTTTGGGGCACGCACTACAGAGTCAGAACTGGGTTTGTGGAAAGGAAATAAGAGAAGTAGAAGATAAATTTTAAAAATAACAACAAAAACTGAGCCTCATTGATATTCTGTGATCTCCTATTCAAGCAGATCTTTATATACTTCAAACCAGTGGGACTGGTTTGCCTAAGTTCACCACAGCCTCTGGGGCAGGAGGTCCCTGTATGCTGGGATCCGGGCTGGAGAGAACACTCTACACACATAGGGAGAGGCAGGTTTCTCTGGACAAGATCTATGGTCCATAGCATGGCGGCCAAAAAGAGCAGATCTTTGGACAGAATTAATATTGTAGGCTGCGTTTAATGGTTTAGTACACATTTCAAGAGAGGGTTTGTACTGCTTGCTGCTGTCTAAATTTCTTTAATTTGTTTACTTCCATTTATCAGTTTTTCTTTCCTTCTTTTAATGACATATAAAATTGTACGTATTGTGCCATGTGAGGCTTGCACAGTTCTATACATTATGTAATGTTCAAACCAGAGTAAGCATACCTTTTGCCTCAAATATTTATCCTTTGGGAGAATGGAATATTCAAAATCCTCTCTCATAGCTTTTTTGAAATATACTGTACATTATTTTTATTCATTGTTAACCTACTGTATAATACAATATCAGAACTCATTTCTTCTCTCAGACTGTCTTTTTTTAATAAGAACCTACTTTTATATCTAAATATATCATTTTAAACAGGGAGAATATAGTTAAGAGATGAGTAGACTTTCAACAATAATCTGTTTTTAAACCATCACCCCGGGAGTGGGCAAGTGTCTGGTGCAAGATGGCAGAGTGAGCGCAGGAATGTGGCACCTCCTTTGCCAGCGATGCCACTGAAATGACAGCGTTGGAGTGCAAAAAGAAATAAATCTGTAGCAAGGAAGAAACTGGGCGGGAAGGCCTTTGGTAGATGAGATATGTGACACATTGCCTGAACAGGGATTCAGCTGGAGACCTGTCAGTGGGAGAAACAGAGGAAGCCAATGCCCGAGAAGGAGGGGAACCTCGGGAAGTGGTGCCCGTTGTTTTGCAGAATTCCTGCAAGTCTTTGGGCACGGGGTTGACATTCTCCCCCTACATGGAGCAGAGAGTACCACGACTTTATCACATGGAGATGGAACAGAAAAACTAGAGCTCTTCTCTGAAACAAACGGATGAACTCTAGAGAGGGATTTGTGGTTTAATGAAGGGCTCTTCGTTCTGTTTTTCATTCAAGGAGAGAAGCAGGATGTCTAATCTAAGCCTGGCTTTCCACCTATACATTCTAAAATAAAACCTGCTACTTATTTAGCCCTGAGCATGTGCTTCAGTTTCCTTGTTTGCCCTCTCACTCATAAGAGGGTCCTTTCAAAAAATATCCATTAATCCGAATTCAAAAGAAACCTAAAGTGGACAGCTGTTATTATGAAACTAATCTTCCATTCATTAATGTGAATCTGCAAACCAGGGCACCAGGCAGACATGTGAAGACAGCTAGCCAGCAGGAAATAAAAAAGACCGAAACAAATTAAAGTTTCAAGGGAGCAGCAATAATTCAAGAAGTGGGAGAGATTTTTAAGTAGTTAATGAATATCTTTAAAAAGATTGGAGAAGATGTTGCATTCATAAAACAAGAATAGTGTGGTTGAAAGGGGAACTGCCAGAGAACACTTAAAAGTTCTTATTAATTAGGAACATGAAATTTAATAGCCTGAAATATAAACCAAAAACATTCTCTCAGAATTTAAAGCAAGTATCAAAGAGC